AATTTATTTCTTACATTATAACAAAATCATTAGAAAAATGATGTTATACCCAGCGAATGAAAACATAAAAGGAGCAAGTGCCTTGTTGTACCTCTGAGAACAACCCGATCCGTCTTCTTCTTTTGTTCGGCGGTGGCGGTACCCTGTGCGGAGTGGCGAAGGAGGGTATGACGACGGAGAAGCAAGAATTTTGGTGTGGGGAATGGGATATGTCTTGGAATATCCCCTGGTTTTTACTCACAACTATTTTTCCCTTCTCCTTACCAACACAAGCAAATTTAATTTAGGACAATCCTCGGTTCCACCGTCTGTTTCAAATTTTTTCTGTATTTTGTTTTGCTATTAGTACAGTACACGTGTATTAGACGAGTGTTACTTATTACATTTATAAAAAAATTATTAATAATAAAACATATATTTTAATAATATTTATAATACAATTATTTTAACTTTTATATAATATGAAAATAGTACACGAGTATTACTTAATTCGTATTGCTACTAGTACAGTACCCGTGTATTAGACGCGTGTTACTTATTACATTAAAAAAAAATTATTAATAATAAAAAATATATTGTAATAATTTTTATAATATAATTATGTTAACTTTTATATAATATTAAAATAGTACACGAGTGTTACTTATTTCGTATTGCTACTAGTACAGTACCCGTGTATTACACGAGTGTTACTTATTACATTTATAAAAAAATTATTAATAATAAAACATATATTTTAATGATATTTATAATATTAGAAACTCTTCTCCCTCACCCGTCGTCCCCAGATCCCCTTCTCTCTCACCCTCTCTCTCTCGTCAATTCGCTTTGTGCTCCCTCAGCCGTGCGTCCGGGGTGCGCTGGTAGACGGCCTCCACCACTCATCCGTGGCCGATTCACCTTCGTCTTCGGTCTGACGCCACTGGGTCTCGGCTAGGGTTTCGGCAGAATCCCTTCTGCTGGATGTCAACTGGTATTCAGTGGAATCGGAAGTCCGCGGGGTACGGAGGTGCGTGGATGAGGTTTGAGTTGCTCGAGTCTGCTTGTTTGGGGCGTCTCCTCGCGTCCGGCTCGGAGGTAAGCCGTCTGTCTGTTTTCTGCGGGAGGGGCGGGTCGTTGGCTCGTTTCTCGTGCAGAGGTGATGAGTCGGGTTCCTTATGGGTTGGGATGTTCGGATGTTGCTTCGTGCGGGCTTGGTTGAGTTGGCTGTTCTTAGGGGCCATTCTTCCCCTTCTTCCCCTTTTTTGGTTTCTGGATTTGCGGGAGGGCGGCTGTTTTGGGATGCAGGCTAGTGGTGATAGTCGGTCTTGTGACGGTATCGGACTGGCTAGTGGTGTTAGCCGGTAGGGGGAGTTAATGGTTCCTTGTGGTGGTGTGCGGGTCGATTTCTCGGTTTGTTTTTTTGCGGCTTGGATCTTCGCCTTGCTAGGCCTTATGCAGTGGTGGGCGTGGTATCGGAGCTTCGGAGCTCTCCTCATGATCGGTTTGTCTGCTGTCCTCTTCGGATTTATCTGCTGAGGGAGGCTGTGTTTTCTTATGTGTAGGTGTTTATCGTTTTTGTTCTTGCTTTGTCGTTTGTGTTGCTGTTCTTGTTAGTTATTGTGTTTTAGGTTTGGGCCGTTGGCCTCAGTCAGTTTGAGTGTGAACTTATTATCCTTTTGGGACCACACACTCGGACATTACCCTGTTGGGGCCGTTTTTAGTGTTGGGATTTGTGTTGTGTGTTTTTTACCCTGTTAGGGTCGTCTTTGTGTTGTGTGGTTATTGCTCTGTTAGGGTCTTTAGGCAGGCTTCGTCCTGGCCTCTCATGTTTATTCAGCTGGTGGCTGCGTTTGTCAGTTGGTGGTTGTATTTTTGCACATTTGTGCCCTTATATAAAATCTCTATCGTTCCGAAAAAAAATGATATTTATAATACAATTATTTTTTAACTTTTATATAATATTAAAATAGTACACGAGTGTTGCTTATTTCGTATTGCTACTAGTACAGTACCCGTGTATTAGACGTGTGTTACTTATTACATTTAAAAAAAATATTAATAATAAAAATATATTGTAATAATTGTTATAATATAATAATGTTAACTTTTATATAATATTAAAATAGAACACGAGTGTTACTTAATTCGTATTGCTACTAGTACAGTACTCGTGTTACTTAATAGATTTAAAAAAATTATTAATAATAAAAAATATATTGTAATAATTTTTATAATATAATTATGTTAACTTTTATATAATATTAAAATAGTACACGAGTGCTACTTATTTCGTATTGCTACTAGTACAGTACCCGTGTATTACACGAGAGTTTACACATAACTTTATTTCGTAATAAAGAGGGTGGTTGTAACACCTCTCATTCAACTCTCACACGCATCGGTTACGCCGTCTGTAAAATATGCCAATCCTCGTTAGGTGCGTGTAATAAATATTGTTTTAATTGATAGATAGCAATAGCAATACACGTTATTTTTTACAGAATTGTATTGAAAATAAGAAAAGTAAAATCTGACAAAGTGATACGGAGAGATACACGTTAATTTTCACTGCACGGTTCACAGTATTTTTTTTTGTTCTTATTCTACTTGGAAAGAATATTGGTATTAGTCAAATGTTCATAAACAGGGGCAGTTTTATTTTTTTTTCAGTTATTATATATATAAAACAAAGGAAACTTGTATATAAAACTTGTATAACTATCCGCTTGTCCTTACAAGTCGCTCGGCTGAATATCATGTGGACAAAATAAAGAAGCCATCAAATCCCGTATTCTCGCACCGGCCCGAACCGACAGTTCTAGTTGACCATTGAGGTATGTATTCATCCGTTTTGAGTTGGCCATATTACAATTTAAACGAATGATGTATCCGTAATGTGAAGATGTACATAATGGGTACGAGAGTATGACATTTCTCCATCTTTTGTCGTTTGTACGTATGGGGTGTTATTTTGTTACGTGAAATTGTATTCTTTACGAACTCGTTACATATTATGGCTATAATGCAAATACGTTCACTATTTTTTTATTAGGTATGGCAAATACGTTTGACCTGTTTCTAACAATTATTACAAATGCAAGCAGCCCGACTTTGGTATGAAAATGCCCGATCAAAAAAACATGTTTTATATTTTAACTTACTATGTATATGTAAGTGTTAACACCTAATTAATACCACCATGAATATGCATGTCGAATTCATGCAGGCATTGCCCGAGTCGATCCACCATCAATATACTAATCATATCACGGTCAATTGTACAATAGTTACTAGGGAGCACCGGTCTTATGAAGTTTGGTTGGTAAAAGTGGGAAATGAATTGCAATTTGTTGATGGTTGGGACTACTTCGTACGAGCGGAGGATATCGCTCGGACTGCATTTTGTATTTCGAGTGCACCAGTCTATATGAATTTGTAGTGAAAGTGTCCACTTGTAATTCGGTTGAACAACCTCCCCAATATCGCTTCTTTCTGGATATGAAGAAAACGAATGTACAACGGGCACATTTGGTGCGTTTCACATTTCACTTCAAATCCGGTAAACTAAAACAAAAAAATATTAACCTCATTGTCTTTACTATTGTAGGCCATTCTAATCAATTTTTGGAGGGAGCATATCGAACACCAAAGTAATGATACTAGCAGAGCAATGTTAATGTGTAAAGGAGGTAGATACACTGTTCCAATCATCCAAGCGCATGTTAAGACATTGATGGAACATGGTGATTCGCGTGAATTTATGGACTGTAGTGGAATCTTCGAGGGCGTGACATGCGTATTCACTTTAATTCCATATGAGTATTGTTTTCAAGGTCAGGATATTGGATGAATAACATGTACTCCTGAGAAAGTGTTTGTCGTCCAAAAGAAAATTCTATATGAGTATGTTTTGAATAATTGCATGTTTTATGATATATGTAATAACTTTTTCTTTTCATTGTATGCTATATATAATATTGATTAATTGCATGTTATATATAATTATATATAACTTTTTACGTGTCGCAAATTACATGTGCGTTCCGAAATGACAAATTCATAGGTGTAAAAATGTCGCTACATTAAGGTTGCCAATTTCATTAAGGTATATAATATATTTGATTATTTGTTTTGACCACAAAAATATATTTGATTAGTTATAATTTTAACACAAAAAAACATATTTGATCTTTTTTTTTTTTTTGGT